GACCCGTTTGGTCACCCACTATTCAGAGGTTATGAAGAATTCAAGCTAATTTCAATATTGCACCGAAATGAAAGTGACCCAAAAAATGGTGCTAACTCAGTAACCCGTGGCCCAATTTTAATGAAACTTCTTTTATTCTGTTTCTATTTTCATTTCATTACAAATATGGCACTATTGTGTGCTGTTTTTGCTGTATTTAATTACAAGCAAACAAACAAACAATCTCAGAGTTTTAGTAGTATATGGATTGTGTATGGTTGATATTAGCTAAACTGGATATTACATCATTAGTTTAGTTAAATTACTTTTTATATTTACTTTCCTTGGCATATTATGCCTCATGTATTTGTACATACAGTGTATTATTTTTACAGAACTTCCATAGTTCTTGAGTCTTGTTGCATTTCATTTTTGGCTTTTAGAGAAGATCAAATGTTATTTATTATTTCCTGCATTCTCTTCTATGTGTTTGTTATAAAGGATAATTGATTCTAAGAACCCATAAGTGAAGACAAAAGGGAATATGTTCAGAAGTTTAGCTAATTGTTTTCTTATTACATTTAACATTATTATTTTATATCAGGTATTAGTTTACCTTTTATTTATTTATTGTTTTGTACCTTGTTAAATATTGGTTGTTGTTTGTGCTGTGGCATCCAACCTGACACACTTTTAAGTAAAATATGTGGCATTAATTGTTTATCTATTAGAGTCTGTAATGTTTAACAACTCCCTGTGTGTGCCCTCTTATAACTAGCAAACAGCTGGGGTAATTTTACCCAAACCTAGCATGTAGCCTTAGAGTACACCAGCTTTTGTGTTCCTCATTCCTTTCTGTGGAACTCAGCCAAACTTGGTATACACCAAAATGCCACCAGTCCATCTCTTTGTATATTCTCTATCAGTTTCAATCATTATTTTCTTGCTCTTCTACCCCCCCCCCCCCACGTATGAATATAATTTAGCAGGTTGAGGTACTTCATAATGTGTCTGAAGCATCTTAACTGTCTTTTGGCTGTGGTGTTCATTACTTTTTGTACTTGCTGTCTCAAATGCTTTTGCTTTTCTTTCCATCCAGCTGATTCTTAACATTCTTCTGACAACTCTTGCCTTGAAAGCTTCCTATCTCTTGCACATCACCTTTACTGCTGGTTCAGATTTAAACCCCATGTGTCAGTATTGATCAAGTATAACAGTGAGCAGTTTTCAATCTAGTCTTAGTGGTAATCCATCTGTTGCTTAAAATTTTTTTCATGGCATAAAAAGCTGATATAGTAATTTTTATTCCAGATTAACACAATGTCCAAAATATCTGGAGAACAGATTTATTCTAGATATCTGGAAAATAAGTGAGAATAATGGCAACAAACCAAAGCTTGTTATAGTTAAATCCTTAATGTTTTTTGTTTTTTTTTAACATATAGTGATGTAGCTCTCAGGCAGGACTGTCTTTACATTTGATAATGATGTTGTGTTGATGATGATACTCAATAAATTAAAATGAATTCTTCATATTTCATGATTATTTACTGAAGTTTAAAGTGGAAATTGTTGGCTGTACATTATAAATTTTAGGTGGCAACATTATTAAGCATGAGAGCAATTTCTTTTCTCACTGTAATGACCAAGTTAATACACATTTGTAATAATCACTAGAATGCCACCTATCATGTACATCAGGCTAAATAACTGATAGACTGATGTTTTCTTAACTTTAAGTAAAGATGCTGTTTACTACAGCACATGTGATGCAGTTGTAAATCTGTGGTCAGTTTAATCAGTCTACATATGTGATAGAGTGGTATTCCTAATGTATTGAGAATATTATGATTTAATTCAGAATATATAGAAAAATATAAAATCTCTGGGCAGGTTATCCAATACAACAAAATCATCCACTAAACAGTTCAACATTTGGAACACCTCACACCTTTTCCATCATGTCTAGCAAAAGGTCACTGAATTCTAGGGACATTTCAAGTCATTCACCTAAACAACACGTGTTTCGTCTGATGTAAATAAAATTTTGCATTAAAACATCATCTGTATTAAAATCATAAATAATATTCAATGTTAAACTGGTACACAATTAAAAAATTATGATTTTAACTTTATACACAAGTGCCAAAATACTATAATCATCTGTATTCTCAGTGAAAAATCATCACATATGTGTAGGTAGATTAGAAAATGTTATAAATATAAAACAAACTCGTTGGACATTTTAATTTAAGTCTGTAATTGAGACAGGCATATGTGTTTGTCTATCAGATTTATGAAGGCTTGGAGTTTACCAAAAACAAACTCTTATATGTGACCATCCAATTCATCAGATCTGTCCCTCCCCACAATGCCATACATCTATATGGTTAGCACAGCAGAAAAGTATTGTCAGTGTGTATAAAAATTGATATAAAATTGGTTCAATAAATTTAAATATATAAACCCTGTATTCAAAATAATGAAATTAATGCAATAAAAAGAAGTTGAAGAACACACTATCCATGATGAAATTAAAGAGCAGGCAACTGGAAATAATAAAGTTAAACCCTAAAAACTAGTTGAGCTCTGTCAAGGATATTATGATGTGAAAATTGTCACAGTGATAAAAGTATTAATCAATGAAATATCAACACTTGTAAATAGACCAACTAAAGATACTTAGGTGACTAAACTAATAACATCATGATGTACTTTATTTAGAAAGAGCTGTTAAAAAACTTGCAATAACTAATAGTGGACTCTATACTAAAGTTGTTAACTTCCTTAAGTTAGGAATAAAAATAATCACTTAAAAAATTAAGGAGTAATCATGACAGTATTGAAAAGGTTTGGATATTCTGTTAAGTTAGTAATCCTATAAGCAGTAACTAGAAGAGTGTTAAACTTACTACAAATCTGAAGAAACTTTGTGCTCAAAATATGGTAGAGAAACTTCATTTGTGAAAAACTGAAAGGAGTTATGAGCTTCATTCACACAGTCTTGCAATGTTGATCAAATTTTATTTTATCTAATAAGCTGGCAGGAGTAAATGTAACATAATACGTGAGAAATCTTAGTGTTAGGAAATTGAAAATTTATAACTTTTCTAGTCTAGAAGAATAAAGTTTTTATTTGATTAATTTTGTTTTAATATAGATTCCTTGTTTATTGTAGCTCGGATATGAATAAAAATTATAAATGTCAAGCTCTTAACATCAGTGTTTGTGTAAGGCTCTTGTAATTTATTCCTTCCAGGACGATGTAAAATAACTGAGATCACCAAGGTCAGTGGTGAGGCAGTAGCTAATAACCGTAAGGGCAAGTTGATTTTCTTCTATGAATGGGAAATTACCCTAAAGTGGAAGGGTAAGTGTATGTTAAGAGATAACAAAATGTTCGTAGAATATAAAATTGCTCTAACAGTTTGGTGTCAGATTTGATTTACTCTTTTTCAATTTTGAGGCATGTTTACAGTAATTACATGAGATCCATAGTATTTAGCTGTAAAGCAGCAAAGCTACAAAACCAAAAAATAATTCAGTTTGAGAGAGAGAAAATCTTAAGTTTATCTTTCTGCTTTAAAAGACAAAGAAGGTAATGGTAAAATTCTTTCTTTACTTCTTATCAACTTTTAAGAACTTGTATAATTGCATTAAAAAGTCATATGTAAAAGTGTTATTTAAATGTTCACGACATTTTTATAATTGCGACATATTTTTATCTTGCAAGTTAAGAAGAGAAATAGTTTAAGTATAGGTAAATAGCAGATCATAACTACTATGTACATTAATTTGTGACTTAAAATGTTGTAACATTAATGTTTAATTAGTAATACTCATGTTTGGTAGTTGATATGTTCAACCCGAAGTGTGTATTACAGGACAGCACAAAGATAGTGACACCGAAATTGAAGGAACAGCAGAGATACCAAATTTGAGTGAAGAAAATGATCCCTGCGAGGTTGATGTACGTCTTTTTTTTCCTTCCACTCATCAGTAATGTCTTTATGACAGTGAGAAAAATAATTTATTGTATCATACAGTGTAGGTGTTTTGAACATTTCACAAGTTATATACAACTTTGTGGGCTTATCATGATTTAACTTGATCAAACCTCTTCCAAAAATTGTGGTTGAACCTAAATGATATGTATACAAGTAAGCTTAACATGCAAGTGTTTTATTTTATTTTATACAAATATTTTAAAAACCTATTGTATTACATCTATTTTATTGTAATTTTTAATTTATAATTCTTTCAGAGGCTTTAATTTAATAAAAACAAAGAATGGTCGATAAAATACAATATTTTTATAAAAAATAGGTGCATCACCTGAAAAATCGTGATCCAGTCAGGCTGTTAATTAATATGTATAGTTTAAAGTACTGCAATATATATATGTATATAGGGAAATTCTTATTTCCAAAGTCTTTGCTATCTATTCTAAAACTGTACAGATTCATAGAACTTTTTGCTAGCCAAGTTTATGTGGTATATTAGCTATGTTTGTAAGAAGTTTGTTGACTGTTAGAAATTGGGTTTCCTGTAGGTGAACATAAGTGTGACGACCACGGATGATTTTTCTCAACAGCTGAAGGACATGATGAGGACCGTTGGAATACAAAATATTCGGGAAAAATTGGCAGAATACATAAAAAGATTAAAAGATGGTAAAGTTACTATGTTCTGCAACAGTATATAATATTTTCGAGTTTGGCTATAAAGCATTGTTATGAAGGTGTTTGAATTGTTAGAGTGTCCAAATGTATTTAACTCCTCCACGCCCAGGTGCATCTATTCAATGCACCTGCCATGTAGTTTGTTTTATTGAGTTGCAAAAATTAACTAATGGATGTTGTAGCTTTAAACTTCATAAAAACTTTCTCCAGATTATTTAATTTTTGTAAAATAAAACATCTTATTTTTATATGTGATATTAGTAT